AAGGATCAACACCTGACTGAGCCCTGCCTTTTTCATGGTAATGTTTTCACCTGAGTTGCTTCTTATGGTACCAAGAATTAGTTAACTAATACTTACTTAACCTTGGAACAATGTTTATCATAATCCGATTGGCAGATAGTCATTTTATTTAGGCCTGTTTCTTTATTGTATCAGGAACTAGCAAATCTCAGTAAAGAGTATGCTGGGAACAGTTTTTTTTCCCTTCAAATAAGTTATCACTCTTTTTTTTTTTTTTTTTTTTTTTTTTTTTTTTTTTCTTTCCACCAAGGGGCATGTTTCCATGCTGTAGACTTAAGCCTAGGAGCCACACATTAACCAGTTGGATTTCCCCTCTTGGGTTGAGCTCTACTTTTATTTTCAAAGCTGACTTCCCTATTACATGCTGCTGGCAGCTTTTCCTCCAAAATGTTCTCCAATATGATTTATTACACTCAGTTTTTTTCATGATAAAGCTTCCTCATGAGCATTACCACTAATTAATAGACAAAATGACCCAACACAATTTAATTATTTGGTAATGATTTTCGGTGTTTTCTTAAAGATGATGCTTTACAAGTCAAGGCCTGAACTCGCCTGGGTCATGACCTCTCTGCAGTGTTTGCAGTCTTGTTAAACAAGAAGTAAAGCAAAACATAAATTAGTGTTTCCATTATAAGTTGCTCTACATTTCCCAGTCTTTCAACACTCCAAAGAGCATAGTCATTGTTAACGTTAGAGAAACTTTCACTAGGAAAATGGCAATTCCGTCTTTCTGGAGTAAAAAGCTTCTTCCTCGGTGCTGTTCTTCTAGGGCCAACGCTGCCTTCCTTGAGAGAAGGCAAGATGAGGGAGTTTGAATTATGGGCTGAATGGAGGGAATTGAGGGAATTTGAATTATGAACATTAAAAACCTAAGGAAAAGGAGAGATAACAGTCAGTTACCTCTCATTGTAAGGCAGCTCCACCAGCCTGTGTGGCCTTTAGCATCTGTTAGCCTTCAGAGATCCCTTCCCAAGTTTACAGATGGAATTTCGTGCTGAATGTTAGAGCACCACTCTTCTGTGATAGCGGAAGTGTGGATGTGTTTATGTTTGTGATTACCTCAGCTCCCCAGGTTTTGTTATTTCACCTTCAGACTTAGGTGTTTCTGCTCCTTCTGGCTTGGAATAGCCTTCCCCTTCATCTTCCTAATCAGCCTACTCATTCCTTAAGACTCTGTTCCAGAGAAGGAGCAGGAGAGGTTTCTGTGCCACATGTTCCCTCCCTCTACCACGACATCCTGTGCATAATACCTCCCACCTGTCCATGTTGGATTGTCATCATCTCTTTCATAGCTGTCTCTATATACAATGTCTATTCCACATTCATCTGGGAGCTTGACGAAGCTCTGTTGAAAACGTGTTTGGTTTTTAGATAGTTGATGTCTTAAAGAATAGTAATGATTATCCTTCAATTAAACTCCACAGGTATACTTCTTTTTTTTTTTTTTTTAGTGTGGATTTGTTTATTTTGAGAGAGAAAGTACTGTGCATGCACAAGCAGGGGAGAGACAGAGAGAGAGAAAGAAAGAGAGAGAGAGAGAGAGAGAGAGAGAACCCCAAGCAGGCTCCGTGCTGTCAGCACATTAGCCTAACAAGGGGCTCCGTCTCAAACCATGAGATCATGACCTGAGCCTAAATCAAGAGTCAGACACTTAACCAACGGAGCCACCCAGGCACCCCACAAATATACCTGTACCCCATAGTCTTTGCACAGTCATCTGATATGCCAGTCACTAATTGTGCCAGAAGGGCTCAGCTTTCTTTGATATGCCTTTGTTTATGCCTGTGTTTCTTTGATAATGCCTGTGGTTCATTTTCCATTATTGGCACAGTAGGTGGACAAAAACGATGAATAAAACTGTGAATGGCTGGTATGCCTTATTGATAGTAGTGGTGTAATGTTTACAAAACCCAAATTGAAATTGTTTTGGTGTCTGATCTTCAGTTTCTTAACATCTTTTCCTGCGTTCATTTTAATTTTCACATAATAATTTATTTTAACATCATGCGTTTCTAAGATCCGTGAATAGGTTTAATTGTTGTATTAAAGGCTTATCTGTGGAATGAGTGTGTACCATCAATCTAGTGACATAGTTTAAAATGTGTTCCTCTTCCATTTTCCAAGTAAACGGTTTTTGGTTTTGGGTTTTTTTAATGTGTTTTCTTCATTTTTTTTTTTTAATTTTTTTCAACGTTTTTATTTATTTTTGGGACAGAGAGAGACAGAGCATGAACGGGGGAGGGGCAGAGAGAGAGGGAGACACAGAATCGGAAACAGGCTCCAGGCTCCGAGCCACCAGCCCAGAGCCCGACGCGGGGCTCGAACTCACGGAGTGCGAGATCGTGACCTGGCTGAAGTCGGACGCTTAACCGACTGCGCCACCCAGGCGCCCCTAATGTGTTTTCTTCATGAAGAAAGCAGTATACAATTTTGGATTCTGGATCTGGTTTCCCTTCCTGTCTCCATTATATATTAGTTGTTTGACCTTGAACAAATTACTTCTATCTGTGAGATTCAATAGCCTCATCAGTAGAGATAACATGAGTACTTAATTGTCAGGATTATATGAACAGTAAATGAGACACTGATCTCAAGAGATGCCATACTGTAAATAGAAATAAATGGGAGTTTTCATATTGTGTGATGAGATACCCAGACCCCTTCCCCCATCGACTCCCAGAATGCTGGAAACTAGCCTTTAGAGCCCTCAGGAAGGAGGAAGATTCTTCCCTGGGAAAAATGTACACATCTTGACCTTTGAAGGACTCCCAATAATCAGCCAAGTCTTATCTGATCATCCTGTATTAAAGCCCTCAGACTCAGAGCTTCCAGTCATTAGTTTAATTTTTAAATCTGAATGGTCATCCAACAATCACCAAGATACTTGAGGAAAACCTACAGTAAACAAATAGGAAAAAAGGAACTCCAGGGAGACAAGGACTAGGCAGAGAACAGAAGAAAACATTATAAAATCTATAGGATTCACACAGACTTAAAATAAGGCATCATAGCCATTAAATATAATAGGATATAATAAAAAGGCATTCAAGAAACAAGAAAGAGCGCTTAGAAATGAAAATATACAAAGAACTTAATATAAATTTGGAAGATGATGTTGATGCTAACCCAAAAAGCATTAGAAAGAGAAAAAAATAAAAACCAGGAGCAAGAAAAAGGAAAAGAACTATAACAGATTAGTCTTAGTAGACCAGTATGCAACTAATGGAGATTCCGTGAGGCAGGGAGGCAAAAAACAAAGACAGAAAAAACACAGAAAATGAATGAAAAGAAATAATCCAAGATATTTCCTAAAACTGAATGATTAGAGGTTTCCAGTTTAGAAGGGACCCATCTAGCACCAGCAGAATGAGTAAAGAAGGACTTATCTCAAAGTACCTAATTTTGCAATTATAGAATATAAGGATGAGAAAAAGATCCTTTAAAAATTAAAAAAGTAAAAGCAAAGAGTCAGAAAACCAGAATGGCGTCAGTCTTCTAGCCAGCAACACTGAAAATTAAAAGGCAATAGAGTAATGCCTTCAGAATTCTGGAGGGAAAATTATATTTAGGCTTGTTCTCTCTACCTAGCCAAACTGTCACGTGTGGAGTAGACAGTATTAATGGTGGAATAAAAGCATTTCCAGACATTCAAAGTCTTTACATTTTCACCTCCTGTGCACCCTTTCTCTGGTAGTTATTGAAGTAGATGCACCGTGGAAAAGGGAATAAATGAAGTAAAGGGAAGACCCCGGGATGTAGGGGATATAACAGGAGAGAGGAAGGTTCTAGAGCTACAGCTGTGCAACAGGCCTAGAGAGCTATCAGTTCAGACTGAGCTTTGAGAACAGAGGACTCTAGGAGAGGGAGGTCTTAAACGAACAAACAAACAAACTTTAAAATTCCCTGACATGTTTGAATGTATTGAAAAGATTTTCATGGTTGTGTGTGTTTGGGGATGAACTTATAATAGGCACCTGGTAAACTAAGCAAAGGGTGAAATAGCAGTTATTAACTCTAATAAATATAAAATGTTTCCTAAGAAAGGAAATGTAATAGTATATTACATGGCTTAGCTGTCAATCATATTTATGCAATCATGATAAATACTGAATATAGATTGAACCAAAGACTATAAAATAACTACATTGGAAGGACAAGAAAAGAGACACGTGGCGGGGTGGTAAAAAATTAATATTAAATCTTCTTCATCTTCCATAATAGTCATCATATTCTATTTTAAGCGGAAAACAAAAATTTAAAAATAGTGGTATCACCTTGTTATTGTAAGAAAAGAAGGTACATACAAGAAGAAAAACTAAGAGTTTAAAATGATTGCCTTTGGAAAGAGGGACACGGGAATGGTGGCATAGGCCTGCTATAGTTTTTAAACATTTTTTGTATGTTCTAGGGTTAAAAATAAAAATGAAATTTAAAAATATTAAATGACACAGTTATGTAAAACACTCAACACCATGCCTTTCACAGTTAAGTGTTGCATAAATGTAAGCAATTTTTGTTACCCTGCTCCTTCTTAAAAGCATAATAAATCTTTGCTAAGTGGGTGATACAGACTTTCTGTTCATTCATTTCCTTTTTCCCAATCCCTACCCTACGTGTACCATGTTGGCCGTGAGAAATGAATTACAACATATACTTCAACATATATCTTTTTATTTGGTTTGTATGTCTCCCTGATTCATCCATTATTTTATTGACACAAATGACAAGAAAGAGCTGTTGTCTCTTTCTGGATCATGTTCCAAAGAAAGTGTCTCTCTTTCTGAATCATACTCTTGATACTTTTCTTTAGATTTTCATGAGGAAAATTTTGAATTTTTTTTCTTTTGCCTAATTACTTACATTTCCGCAATTAAATAAACGGATATTGTTCAGGCTTACTCTGGTTTCCTGACCAGTCTTCTCCTATGCATTTTAACACATTTTCTCCTTATGAGCAGGGCCGCAAGCTTCTTATCATTGGGACCACCAGCCGCAAAGATGTCCTTCAGGAGATGGAAATGTTGAACGCTTTCAGCACCACCATCCATGTGCCCAACATTGCCACCGGAGAGCAGCTGTTGGAAGCTCTGGAGGTGAAAAAAGTCAATGGATTGCAAACTGTCTGTACGACAGGAGCTGGGGTGGCAGCAACGCTCAGGGTGTACCACAGACATTGCACCCGGTGCCTCATTTCTGAGCTGACCTAGAACGGGGCGCCTGGGATATACTTTCAGTAGTTTCAGGAATTTGAGGAAGAGGTGAATGTCAGTGAAAGTGAATGACTCTCCCATTCCTTGGTGTAAGCAGTACCCAGCCTGCCAGGAATGAATTACTGTGTGCCCGCCATGAGTGATGCATATGGTACATGGGCCAGAAACTTGGAATGGGAGAAGGGGAGGGTAGAGTAATCAGCATGCAGAAAATTCGGTCCCTTGCAACAGCTTTCTGCCCATTTACCTGCATTTAATAAATCGGAACCATGATTAAAACATTATAGACTTCAAAAAGCTGCAGAAGTAAAAGGAACTGCTTTACTAAGTTCATAATATAGGAATGTTTTCTTAAATTTTTTGAGGATGACAAAGTTTAATTTTTAATTTTCATTCATTCATTCATTCATTTATTTTAATGTTTATTTTTGAGAGAGAGAGACAGAGTGTGAGCAGGGGAGGGGCAGAGAGAGAAGGAGACACAGAATCCGAAGCAGGCTCCAGGCTCCGAGCTGTCAGCACAGAGCCCGGCGCGGGCTCGAACTCACAGACCACGAGATCATGACCTGAGCCGAAGTCAGACGCTCAACCGACAGAGCCACCCAGGCGCCCCAATTTTTATTTTTTTTAATGTTTTTATTTAGTTAGTTTTGAGAAAGAGACAGAGTGCGAGCAGGGGAGGGGCAGAGAGAGAAGGAGACACAGAATCTGAAGCAGGCTCCAGGCTCTGGGCTCCAAGCTGTCAGCACAGAGCCCAATGCGGAACTTGAACTCACAAACTATGAGATCGTGACCTGAGCCGAAGTCGGACGCCTAACTGACTGAGCCACCCAGGCACCCCAAATTTTAATTTTTTTAAAAAAACTATATTCTTCATTAAAACTTTTGGTTAATATCAGTGTACACAAATGACTTGATGAGATCTGTGAAAAAAATGTTACCTAGTGATTTGTTCAGCAGTGGTGAAAGCTTCTTGAACTCCACAAGACCCATGCGGTTGGGGCATACTCCCAGCAAAATAGAAATTCTCTATATGATAAATGTCTCCAGATTACCTATGTGAGCAGCTCTGGTGTCGAGGCTGGTTAAGAATTAAATTTAGTCTCTGCTTTGACACATGTTAAAAATTGTAACTGATGTAGGGGCGCCTGGGTGGCTCAGTCACTTAAGCGTCCGACTTTGGCTCAGGTCATCATCTCGCAGTTTGTGAGTTCGAGCCCCGCGTCGGGCTTTGTGCTGATAGTTCAGAGCCTGGAACCTGCTTCAGATTCTCTCCCTCTCTCTCTCTGCCCCTCCTCCGCTCACACTCTGTCTCTCTTGTCTTTCGATAATAAATAAATGTTAAAAAATGTTAAAAAAAAATTTACTCAAAAATTGTAACTGATATTTATTATGGGTTGGTTGGAGTTTTTTTTCCCCACAGCCAGGAAATATATCTCTAAATTAAATGGAGGTCTATAGGAAAACAGGATTTAGGATACCAGCTTTCACTTTCATAATTTTACCTAATGGGTTAGGAAGGTCAGTTTGGAGTTTAAAATACGATAAAATCTGGGGCGCCTGGGTGGCTCAGTCGGTTAAGCGTCTGACTTCGGCTCAGGTCATGATCTCACCGTTCTGAGTTTGAGCCCCATGTCAGGCTCTGTGCTGACAGCTCAGAGCCTGGAGCCTGTTTCAGATTCTGTGTCTCCTCCTCTCTGTGTCCCTCCCCGCTCATGCTCTGTCTCACTCAAAAATAAATAAACATTTTAAAAAATAAATAAAATAAAATGTGATAAAATCCTGTCAACTTAAATCAGTCAGGTAGCTCTTACCCCTCTTCTTTTAGGGATAAATGTGACTGTTAACTAATGTTGTTGTAATTAACTTACTATCAAAGTGCTTTCGTTATTTTTATTGCTTTTGTAGCTTTTGGGCAACTTCAAAGATAAGGAACGTACCACAATTTCACAGCAAGTCAAAGGCAAGAAGGTTTGGATAGGAATCAAGAAGTTACTAATGTTGATCGAGATGTCGCTACAGGTAAGACGCTTCATTCTGTGTGATTCAGACACAGCTTCATGATATACCAAAAGGTTTTATATTTCCTTTACTAAGGTTTTAATTGTTTTAATGTTTATTTATTTTTGAGAGAGAGAGAGAGAGACAGAGCATGAGTGGGGGAGGGACAGAGAGAGAGGAAGACACAGAATCTGAAGCAGCCTCCAGGCTCTGAACTGTCTGCACAGAGCCCGATGTGGGGCTAGAACTCACAATCTGCGAGATGATGACCTGAGCTGAAGTCAGACGCTTAACTGACTGAGCCACCCAGGCACCCCACCTTTACAGGGTTTTGAAGAATTTATCATAATTCTCTTATTTCTGAACTCAAGTTGCTATTAGTAGTCTGCTTCTGAGACCAGCAATAACTTATTGGTACTTTTCTTTCTTCTTAAAATTCAGAAATAGAAGAAAAGATTATGAAGTTACTTTCAATTTTAACTTAGGGAGTCATTAGATCTTAGAACTAGAAAGGGCTTTGAAGGGCAATTGCTTTGCTGTTCCTCCCCACCCCCCACCCCCCATTTTAGAGATGAGGGTACTGAGTGTCCCACAGGTGGTGAGGAGTTATCCAAGGTCACACAGCCGATTACTGATGGAAGGAAGATGGTGTTGTTCACCAGAGGTCCAGAAGCTACTGTGCATTACACCAAAAGGGGTCTGGGAGACTGTTTTAAGGGACATGTTAATTGAATTGTACAGAATCGACTTAGGCTCTATATATTTCCCCCTGGCTGGGCTCCTAGAAATTTCATGCAAACTACTGTAGAGTTAAAGCATGCAGAATCACATAGAAAACTGAGCCCTAGGCTAGTACCCAGACAAAGACAGATGAAATTTCTCTGGGACTTTTGCACATCTACTTTTGGGGACTCCACCCTGCATGTGCCCGTCCTGTGTCTTCTGTCCTTATCTGCCATACTGGCTAGATAATAAATGTACTTCTACAAGTTCTGTGAGTTCAGGGATCTTGGCGATCACTCACTATTTGAATCCACAGTGCCTAGAACAGAGCCGGACACACAGTAGGGTGCTCATCAAACTGTCATCAGATGGGTCCATCCCAGGTTATCGGTGGACACACTGGCTGCACTGTTGGCATGGTTTGCCACTGCTCAGTCCTGCCGTTCACTCAATGGGAGCAGTGGGTGGCGGGGGGGAGGTCTGAGTTTCACGGCGACACGTGAAATAGGCTCTTGGACCAATAACAAGTTGAGAACATGAAGTGAAGCCTTTTTAATCTTTGCTGGCCCATCTATTTGAAAACAAAATTGTGGCTTTGAGAAACCTAAAGTTTAATCTATTGAACTTTCAGCCAGACTGAAATTTATTTATTTTCCATGGTGAGTGGTAAATTAAAGTTACAGGCTAATCCCTTTGCTCAGGCTTCTTCTTGGTAAAGGTGCATATACAGACGTATTAGCTCTTTCCTTGGGTAAAGATAAATCTGTCAAGATAGTCAGCTCTACTCTTCTTCTTCTTTTTTTTTTTTTTTTTTTTTTTTTTTTCTGGTTTCAGCATAATTTTTTTCAATAATTGCAGAGAAGAAACTATGTGGGTTTTTCTCTCCAGTCCCTACCCCTTCTTCCTTTGATGCCTGCAGGTCAGTGATCACCTTAATGCCTCTATGTATGTGGGGCAGAAAGTGAGAGTGGGGCACTCGGGCCTAATCTTCAGCGACTGACACTTCAGAGGCCTCTGAGTTTGAACCCCTTCATGTCAAATGGATTTCGTGCAGCTGAGTGAATTCTCTTTAGATCTGCCTTAGAGAGACTGAGCCTAAGTGAAGAGGCATGTAGTTGAGCAGAATATAAGTCATGTTACCTCTCTGTTCACTCTACACGATTCTGTTAAAACTTGCACAGTGCTGAGTATCTGCTCTGACTGGATGTCACCTGAGGGAATAAAGTCATTTATCTAGATTACTTTTTTCCTCCCTTTCTCTTGACTTTTAATTCCATAGCTACAGGCAAGTCAGTAAGTCGTTGCTCACACATATTAAATATATTTAATGGGCAAAGACCTGCAAGTACGGACTACAGCTGAGCTCCAGCCAGTTCCATTTTTTTAAAGAACTTGACAATTGATTCATATGTAATTCTATTCCCAAAGAGGGAAAATGTTTCTTTTGTTAGTTCTTCTTACTTTTTCTCAGTCCTTTGTAGTCTGACCTCTTAACTTTGATACATTTGAAACTTCTGTTGGATGTTTTTCTGGGGATAGAAGAGAAGACATCTTAAAGAAAGAGAAAACAAAACTGTGGTTGGAGGGATCCAATTGTACCTTTCTGCACAGCCGCACCGACGTTTGAAAGCTACTCCTGGAGGGCAGGGAGTTCCCTCTGGGGAAAGACGCCTGCCCGGGAGCATTTTTTAAAAGTTAGGCATGTTTCTCACAATAAAAATTCATCTTACGGAAGTAAAGATGTTTTTAATCATCATTTTTTTAGATAACATCTCTGGCTGACCACTGGGAACAAAGTATATTTAAACAAATGAGTAAATATGAATATAAAAGGAAAATGAATAGAGAGCAATAGTAATAACCTAAATCTAGCCCCCGAACCAAAACTTCTCTATCTTCACCTGGACTCATGATGCCTTTTTTTTTTTTTT